CTCCTTCATGAAGTTGAAGTATGATGGCACTCTACCTCACAGATGCCGGGAGCGATCAGGCTTTTCAGTGTACTCAATCCTTGCAACATCAATTCTAGCCACGGCAAAAACAGGGGCACGTGCTCTGGAACTACGGGGGGTTCGTAGACGTTCCCAAGGAGGTGCTAGCCCCCCAACGATGTCGATGATCCTGCTGTGCTGTCCCGCGTCTGTCGGAATTACTCCTATCATTTAGCATACCACTATGTTGCTACCTTGGGCTGGCGAGGGAGAGGAACCCCAGACAATCGAAGAAGTCCATGAGGTAACCGTCCTCCTGAAGGCCCACCAGGCCGGTGGCAGGGGAGGCAGTCAGCCGGCTCCTGTTACATCCAAGTAGATTGGCAAACAAGTTTCGACCGGGGGGGGGGGGGGGGGGGGGGGGTGTACTCATAGTCGTGCATGCCGTAGTCGTTAGACCATTGACCTCGCATCCCTACAAAGCCGGGACGGAGCACGCCGGGTTCTCACCGGACCAGGCTCTCACATCACCAAGCGCGAAGCGCCGTGAGATATTCGGCGAGTCGCATGAAGGGTGCGCTGCATCCTGCTAAGGGTGTTCGGCATCTTGTGCTTACTTCCTTGCGTACGGATGACAGCTGCGTATGAATTAATTTATTTTCTGGTGCTTTCACTTCCAGAGACAGTTGTAAGCACTGTGTAACTGCCTCGAGGGTGCTTGACCATTTTAACACAACGTGGTGCGATCATCCCCCTTGCGCGGAGTGAGGGTTCACCCCGCACAACATGATCTACTCAACCATCATTATGGTTACCGCCCAAAAAAAATAAACGGAGGAAAAAAAAAAAAACGGTAACCTGGTTGCCGAGTTCACGAAGTGAATTGGCTTGTTTTACAACGTCGTTGCCAAGCGACGAAAACCCAATCCCGATGGCAAACACCGGGGGGGGCGGCTTGTTTTACAACGTCGTTGCCAAGCGACGAAAACCCAACCCCGATGGCAAACACCGGGGGGGTGGGGGGGGGGCGTACTCTTATGTTTTGCATGTCTTAGCGGTTAGACCATTGACCACGCGTCCTCGAGAGGACGGAGCATTGTTCCCACAGCACCGATCACCGATGGCCAATCGTTCCTTTCCTATTTTGCCAAAGGTGGCTCAAAAGTGTCTTCTCTAGTCTATCTGTCCTAACGATATCACTTCCTGCCTTTTCAAACCCCTTCCTACTCCCCAGTACAGCTACCGTCTGCTCCTCTCTATTACATGCCGCAAACATCTCCCTGTATCCCTTGCATGTTTCCCAGCTCAGTCATGTACACTTCCCTCTCCTTTTCGTATAAATGACATTCCGCGACTACATGAACACGGTCTTCGCATTCGAAGCGGCAATCACATTTGAACTTGTCGTCGTCGTCGTCTACCGTCCGATGTCTTCATCGACGTTCTCGAAGGCCTATGTCCCCATTCCTGAATTTGGCCTTAAGCTTTGTCCCTGCATCCATTGGTCCATGTAGGGAATCCTTGAACCCTATTTCTTCCTTCAACATTCCGTACACTTCTAGACCTGTCTCTTATACACATCTAGATGTGTATAAGAGACAGGC